TGGATGTCTTCTTTGGAAAAATGTCTGTTCATGTCTTCTGCCCATTTCTTGATTGGATTATTTGTTCTTTGGGTGTTGAGTTTGATAAGTTCTTTCATCCTAACATTGTTTTTGAGGTTTATGCTTCAGAATGACCTTATAGGTGAAAACTTGACCCTCATTGGATGAAGTCTCAATTTCCATAATTTAATGAAAACTGTTATAGTCTAGTAGCCTGACATTAAGGCTATGCCTACTTTCTGGATAAAATAGCAATCTCTTCTCTTTGGTAGTGTTAGCTAAATAAAGAGGAATACATTCTTCTCTCTCTCTCTTTTTTTTTTAAACCCATACTGTAGATGCATGTAGTTTGCATGCTGCCTTTTTCACTGACCATTACACTAGTGATGAATTGCTCCAGGTCATTAAGGTGAGAACGCTTTGTTTCTTACCTGGGTCTATGGCAATCATAGTCTCTAGCTCTCTAATCTTCTGAACAGCTGAAGCCAATGCCATGCTGTCGTGCAAAGGATTTGGGAAATGCAATGGACCTCTGGAATTCCCTCAGGGGTAAGACAACGGGCTGCAGCCTCTGTATCCTTCAGGTTGGTCATGACTGTGCAACCCGGTGCACTGGTGAAAGCCAGTGGGGTCTCTAAAACACACAACGGGAGGGACTGAGTGCACTCACTTCATTCTCATCTAGCCCACGATTGATGGGCAAGATGGTACTGGGCCTCGGCTCTGCCAGCAGCGCTCCTTACATGGCTTGCTGCACCACATCAGAAAAAACTAGCTGATGGCTAAATGAAGCCCCACTTAAACAGGTGCTTCCAATGTTTAGGAAAGTCAAGATGAGATGCGTGTGGGAACAGAAGGGACGGGCAGCCCAGCCACAGATAGGAATTGCCATCAGCTGAATCCCATGGGTATCAGAAAGTACTTACTGAACTCTTACAGATGCATGAAGCCACGTTCCTGGACTTGGCTAATAAATAGCTCTCTCTGAACATAGTGTCTATTTTTCCCACGGCACTTTTATTTTGCTTTGGTGTCTAATGTCGCTCTTTAAAAAAACTCTCCTGTACCAAATTCCGGGCAATGTGAAACACTCTAGCATCGTTACTAAGAACATGGCTTTCCTGTGCCAAACAGAGTTTGAGATGAGACTTTATCCTCTCTAAACCTGTTTCCTCAACTATAAAATGATGATAATGCTTCAGATGGTTGTTGTCAGAGCTAAACGGGAAAATGCACATAAATGTTTCCGCAAAGTGGTTCAGAGTAAGCCCTGGATAAGTGATGGTTTGCATTACTGAATCAGGTACTACTCTATCTCACTCGCTTGATGTCCTTGTCCCTGGCCCATTAGGGGCTTCATACTTTACTTAATTTATATCGTCTGCTGTCTTCAGTGTCATTATTATCCTTGGGTACTTTAATCCTACTCAGCTGTGTGCTCCCAAAGAAGAGGACCATTGCTTATTGATCTCAGAATGCCACATAGTACCTTACACATAAAAGGGGCTCCGTGTGAATTGGTGTGAATTGAGTCCATAACAACGTCTTGGATGTCACAGAAAACAGTAACTTTTTTTTTTCAAATTCAACAGAAAGCCAAAGTTAACACTTCAAAAGGAAAACCTACTGATAATTTCATGAAGCATTTTTTTAAAGATTGTATTTATTTATTTGAGAGAGACAGAGATAGCGAGAAAGAACATGAGTGCGGAGGAGAGGGAGAAGCAGACTCCCCGCTGAGCAAGGAGCCCTACGCAGGACTCGATCCCAGGACCCTGGGATCACGACCCGATTTTGAGGAATGCAATCACTGTTTTTCTGTGTTTTGGACAGCATCTACAACGGGTCACTTTCATGCCAGGTCTACACCAGAATAGTCAGCTCAGAGTGTGACACAGACTTCTGCCCCATCAGCAGTGAGGTGTGTAGCAACTAGTCTATCTTTAATTGAAGTTTATTTATTTATTATTTATCTTTAAAAAGATTTTATTTACTTGTTTGAGAGAGAGAGAAAGACAGAATGAGCAGGGGGAGGGGCAGAGGGAGAAGCAGAAGCAGACTCCTGGCTGAGCACGGAGCCCGATCCCAGGACCCTGAGATCATGACCCGAGCCAAAGCAGATGCTTAACCAACTGAGCCACCCTGGTGCCCTGCTAATAGAAGTTTAAATATTGAAGTTTGTGCATGATTTTTTAAAAGATTTATTTATTTATTTTTAGAGAGAGAGAGAGCGCTAGCGGGGGGAGGAGCAGAGGGAGAAGGAGAGAGGGAGAAGCAGACTCCCCGCTGAGCACAGAGCCTAACATGGGGCTCGATCTCACGACCCTGAGATCATGACCTGAGCCGAAATCAAGAGTCAGATGCCCAACCAACTGAGCCACCCAGGAGCCACCGCATGATTTTTGTAAAATTAGAAATATTCAAGGTCGTCCTTAAGCCAATGATGTCATTTGGCCTCATTTACAAATCAGGTGTGCTATTTCAAGCCAGAGCTAATGGGCTGGGATGCTCGTGGCAGTGACCTCTCCTCTGCAGCGCATCCCCTGTGGCTGGTGGCAGGAGAGGGGCGACGCCAGCGTGCTGGACAATATTTACCACATGTGTGTGGATGTGTGAACACACATGCGCACACACACTCAGAAATGACCACAAACTCCCTGAGAACTGCATCTTATCTCACGCAGCATTTTATTCCCCAAATCTGGGTCCATGCCTGGCACATAGTAGGTGCCCAATACATTTAATATTAAATAAGCAAAGGAATGGGGTGCCTGGGTGGCTCAGTGGGTTAAGCGTCCGCCTTCAGCTCAGGTCATGATCCCAGGGTCCTGGGATCCAGTCCCGCATCGGGCTCCCTGCTCAGCGGAGAGCCTGCTTCTCCCTCTCCCTTTGCCTGCCGCTCCCCCTGCTTGTGTTCTCTCTCTGTGTCAAATAAATAAATAGATAAATAAAATCTTAAAAAAATAAATGAATAGAATTCCATGAATCTTGGCATTTATGCCTCATCGCTATATTAGAAATAATCTTCCCCTATCGTGAGGCCATTCTGATAGCTAAATTTATATGAATGCTTTCAAAAAAATTTAAGGTAACATTAAATTCTGTGATTTGTAGTGCCAGTGTGGCTGACCTGGCTAGAATTTTCTGGTGTCTACGAAATGGGCTGCCATAGTTATTCTTAAGGTTTCTAGCACATCCCTACCTTACGGTGAGCTGGTTAGGGCGCCCTCGTGTGTCTCTTCATTGTAATATCACCCTGTGTCTTTGAAAAAAATAAACTGACCGTATTGCTTTAAAATGCAGAGGTCCCCCCTTATCAAGATATGTTCCAAGACCCCCCAGTGCACATGAAACCCTGCATAGCACTGAACCCCATATAGACTATGTTTTTTCAACCCTGCATAGCACCGAACCGGATATAGACTATGTTTTTTCCTATCCGTACATCCCTATGATGAAGTTTAATTTATACATTAGGCACAGTAAGAGATTAACAGCAATAACTAATAATAAAATAGAGCAATTAGAAAATATACTGATAAAAGGGTTGTGAATGTGGTCTCCCTTTCTAAAAATACCTCACTGTGTTGTCCTCACCCTTCTTCTTGTGACGATGTGAGATGAAAAATGCCCATGTGATGAGAGGAAGTGAGGGGAGAGGGCATGTGACGTAGCATGAGGCCACGATTCGTCAGAAGGAGGATCATCTGCTTCTGGACTGCAGTTGACTGCGGGCAATAGACTTCAGAAAGCAGAACTGCGGGGAAAGGGGGACCACTGTACCCTGAAAATACCACGTGAAATGGAGTGTTTAGTGGTGCTGTTTGCCTTCACTCTTGTTTTCAAAGCCTTACCAACCTTCAATATGTCTCAGAAAGTCAAGCTAAATATTGGTCTTTCTATTAGAATGGACTGGACTGGGAGCCTTCTGCAGATGGAAATATATTTAATCAAGATGTACAAGCAGCTGGTGAGACCCAGCCCTGGGAGATCTGTATGTTTTATATTTTGTTTTGTGACTCGGTTTTTTAAGTCACTGCCTGCAAGCCTATGCTTCCAAGAACTAGAGACCCACCCTTTTCCATCCTGGGTCATAGTCATAGCCCCCTTTAAGCCCGACGTACTGCAGCTGCTGACGGCTTCGAGTACTTCGAGCTGCTGACCAGTCTCGATCATCTGAGAAGTCCATTGGGACGTCCCCTGGCTGACACACCACAGGATTCCCATAGTCAGGTTTGGAAAGATCTTTGATTCCCAACCATTCTGCAAATGGAAAAAGAAAAGGAATTCCTGCAGGTCCCGTCCTGGTAGGTCCCATCCAGGTTAAACACATCGAGTAGTTTATGTTTCTTTCTCCCAGAAAAAAACTCTAGTCATAGGATTGTTGTCAATGGGACTGGAGAAAAGGACTTGGGACTTTAAAAACCCAGGTCACTGGCTAGCTTCTAGTCTATTCCGAGTAGTACCATTTCAGAACACAGAATCTCAGACACCTGCTGTGATTGCTGGAGGAGCCCCAGGTGCACTCAGCCTAACACCTGGTGCAGATTGCTGACCCAAACCAGCATTTGTGAGCCAGCATTTATCTCGGTGCAGGCTGAGTCACGTTAACACAGACCTAAACTCTGTTGCTTGACCACCAACAGCGTCCCTACCCCTGGCCCAGCATCAGAAGGCTCATGAGGACAGCAAAGATGGATGTGTTGGGCCCAACCCAGCTCCACTAAAGAGAAGACAATTCAATGATTCAGCAAAACACTTTGCTTTGGGTGGTCCTGAGATCTTTCTGTGAGGGAGGGGGCCAGTGCTGATTGCATCGTTACAGAATGCAGGCTTTGTCTGATTCTGCTTGTTGCATGGCTGAGCGAGTTCAGGTCACCGAGCTTCAACTCTCACCTGAGACCCAATCGCAAGCTTTCATCGGGCTCTCTGAGAACCACAAAGAGGCCTAGACAGCTGCCAAGCTTGGATCTGCTCACTCACTCTCAGACTGAGTTAATACACCCGGGATCGGTTCAAGTTAACATTTGGAACAAAGCCCTCCCCTGCCCAAATAGGGCTACTGCACAACAGCCCAGATTAGAGGTGGCTCTGAGCTCAGGTTCCAGGACAAATAGCTCTGCTGCTGCCGTCTACCACCTGCTCCTTCCACCCCAGGTTCACCTGAAGGTCACGGGAGACAATGGGTCAGGCTGGCTATTCTGCCAAGGGCAGCACTTTTAAACCTGAGGGGCCTCTGTAAACCCAGCCCGAACGTTGCTGCGGGAGTCTGAGCCTTGTGCAGGACCCCCGGGGAACCGGGGGGAAGATGGAGACAAGCCGGGGGAGTTCAGGAACACTGAAGTTCAAGAGCGGTTGTCAGAATCACGAATGAGGGGCGCCTGGGTGGCTCAGTCGTTAAGCGTCTGCCTTCGGCTCAGGTCATGATCCCGGGGTCCTGGGATCGAGCCCCGCATCGGGCTCCCTGCTCCACGGGAAGCCTGCTTCTCCCTCTCCCACTCCCCCTGCTTGTGTTCCCTCTCTCGCTGTGTCTCTCTCTCTCTCTGTCAAATAAATTTAAAAAACTTAAAAAAAAAAAGAATCATGAATGAGGGTGGACGCTCACCTGGGTCACCGATATGAATGGGTTGTCTCTTCCCATGGAGCAACTGGCCTGCACCAGCCTTTCCAGCTTGTCCTCGGGGATGGGCCTCATTGTGACCACCAGGGGGCAGCAAAAGCCAGCCATGGCGACACAAGGCACTGTTGTCTGAAAAGATGTTGAAAAACACAGTTGACCCAGATGGGAACCCTGAGCACCAAGAGTTCAGGGCAGCTGAATGAAGGAGGGGGTCCAAGTATCATAAAAATACAGCTTCTACTTTTATGTGACATAGAAATGAGAAAGTCTGCTGGTAATGATTGGTTTAAAACAGAGAACCTTCACTTTGTATGTGCTTCTGGTAGTCTGGTGCAGCTACAGACCCCCACTCCAAGTAAAGTTTCTAATTGCATAAGAGGAAATGCATAGGTTTACAAAGGAAACCGATTATATTGCAAATGCGGTTATCAGATTATGAAAAAATGTGATACAGTGATATGTATGCTCCATCAACAGCTTAAGGAACAAGATGACAGATGGACATTATAAATATGAAGTAGTGATCAACATATAGGATATTTCTGAGATATCAGGAAGAACTGCCATGGGACAGGAAAATATCTGGGTGTCCTTTGGGCAGCCGCAAAGTCACAGGGTCTGCTCATACAACAGCAGTTTGTTGTCGGCGTTTGGAATGGAAGGAAATGCTCAGTTTCAGTTTGAGGCCATGACAATCAAAAGGTAATTTTTTTTTCATCCAATTCCACGGGCCTCTGAATTTTCTCCACGGACTTCAAGGGGCCCGTGGACCACAGGTGAAGACCTCGGGGAGAGTCAGATGCAGAGCCACCCAAGGGCAAAGGATCTCGCAGGAGGCACTGGGGTCTGCTCAGCCCCCTGAGTCCACACAGGGGGTGTGGGTCTGTGTCCAGACCCCACCAAGCCCTGCCTCGTTCCTCCTGCCTTGGGATGACCTGCGTGACTTTCTCTGGTGGTGGTGTTTTCTCCCCTAAATGGTTTCTGGTCGCCGCAGTGGGGCTTACATGGCCAGGATGGTGATTGGCAGGGACAGTCTTGGCTACTGCTGAAGGGCTTGCTGTTGGCACTGAGGGGGAAAATACGCCACCCCCAAATACACAACTTCGGCATACTGATTATTTTGAATTAAAGTTCCTTGGGAAACCGCCAGTGCAAGAAAAACATTCTGACATCCCTTCCCTTCCCCCGACCGTGAAAATCAGGAAATAAATCTCCCACATGGAGGTACCCTCCCTGTACCAGGAGGGTAGAAGCCACCCTTATCACCAGCGATGGGAAATCCAAGGCCCAGAGGGCTCTCTCAACAAACCTTGCGACTTCCTCACTAATCTACTACCCCAAGCCCGAACTTCTCTGTCTTGTCAGTCCTTCACAAATTCATTGTTTGTCTGAGAGGCACAAAAGCCGCCTGCTTTGGTCACTTCTTGGAGCCTCACACCTTTGGGGCTCCTGTAGGTACGACGCTAAGTTTGTTTTTCTCCTGTTAATCCTCACGTCAATTTAAGTAGGAGACCCGCCGAAGGACGTCAAAGGGAAGAAGGGACAGGTTTCCCTCCCCTGCAGCACGCTGGTGGTGTCTGCCTGGTTGGCGTGTGAATCACAGCACTTGGGAAGGGACACAGGTCGGGGACTTTCACAGGGGACAGGCAGGGCTCCCCTCAGGGCCAACACTGAATACAGGAGGGCTGGCTGGTCTTTTTGGATAGAGCCCTGGGCCAGACGAGACCACGCTGAACCAAAGCCGTTGGTTAGGTGCGGTGTCACGGGGAAAGGACGGCTCTGCTGAGCGCCGACTAGGGGCAGTGACAAGCACTCGGTGCCAAGCATCCTTTCCTCGTCACACCCCCACCGGTGACACTTTACAGACGGGAGCCGGGGGTCCTGGGTTCCAGGCCGGCTTTGGGATGTGGCCAAGTCCTCTTCCCTCTCCAGGCTTTAAGTTCCTCGTCTAAATGAAGGGTTGCACATGATGTACCTGCTGCAAATGGCCATGTGTTTGGGGGGCCAGACCCTGCCTGGGACCCCCATCCCACCCCAGTAGCTATACTTCTGCCCCCGCCCTCCCCTGCCCTGCGAAAACCGCTCAGGCACATACTTCACACATGAAAATTGCTTCTCGGGGCACCTGGGTGGCTCAGTTGGTTAAGCATCCAACTCTTGGTTTCAGCTTAGGTCATGATCCTGCAGTCATGGGATCAAGCCCCGCATCGGGCTCTGCACTCAGCATGGAATCGGCTTCTGATTCTCTTTCCCTCTCCTTCACACTCACTTACTCTCTCTCTCAAATAAATAAATAAAATCTTAAAAAAAGAAAAGAAAAGAAAATTGCTTCTCATCAGAAGCAGCTCAGGCCTCCCTGGCAGGAGCCCACACCGGGCAAATTTTAATAAGCGCCCGGGAGCCCAGGACCACATCTGCAGTCCGAGGCCTCCACAGACAGACCCGCAGCCGACCGACTGTCCCTCCAGCATGGTGGCCCCTCGGGCTTCACACAGCCGTCCTGGGAGGGGTCAGCGGCCTGAGGGAGTCTGGTTCTCTCCCCTTGACCAGCAGTGGCTGACATGGAACCGCAGAGACACAGCAGGGGGGCGCCCCCCAACAGGGCGAGGGTCTCGGACGGGCGACCACCAGGCGCCACCGCGGGCTGAGAACATGACCCAGCTCTCCTGACAGAAACCCAACCCGGCGGCCAACGGGCTGGCCGAGGCTCCGCCACAACCCCCCGGGGCCTTTCACCAGCCAGGCACGCTCTCCCCGAAGCCAGCACGCTGGAGCCAAGGAGGATTTTCAAAAAGCCCACTGAGATGCTCTGAGTTAAAGGAGCCAGACAAAACTCCAAACTGGTTTGGTTTACACGGCAGCAACGATCGGTCTGTAAGGACTTGACTCCCACGTTCAAGGCCACCCAGGGCTCGTCCCATTTTCCAGCTGAGGGGACAAGCTCAGGGAGGCTGCCCTACCTGGGCTGCACACCTAGAAGTGGCTGAGCTGGGGCCATGTCAGTCTCCTTTCTCCCATGTCAGTGTTCGCCCCACCACGAGAAAACACAGGGTGACCCACCTGTTCAAGTCATTGTCAATTGTGTCCTTACCTTGTAGGCCCCCACGAGACCGTGGCGGGCCAAGTATCCTCTGGGGAGCCCCACCTTCTCCAGAGCTGCTTCCGGGAGAAGCCGCAGTCCACGAAGAAGGCCACCATGTCCTCCAGGGGCTCCGGGTAGTCCTCCAGCGAGGTCAGGCTGCCCGCGCAGGCACTGAACTTGTACTTCTGGAACTGGGGACAGCCCGTCCTGGGGACACAGGGGAAAGCTCACAGGCCCCCGGCCCAAGATGGCCCCTGACCATGCGTTGTTTGAAAGGGTAGGGGAGAGTGAAGTGGATGTCTGGAGCTGAAGTTTCAGGCACCTTGCTGGCATCCTTCAAACCATGCCAGATTGGAAACCAATAAATCAGCGAGCGTATAATGTACTCCCTGCTCCCACCCCATTACATTTTCTATAATCTCAGCCCAACACCAGCCAAACCAGCAAGAAAAACAAAACAAAAACAAAAACAATGGCGCCCTCTCTGCCATTGAGGCAGGGCCGGCAGACCAAAGGGACAGAGGACACACCTCTCAAGAAGTTTCCAGCGCTAGCAGGGGGTGAGGCCTTTCTCTTTCCTGAAAGGAACTTTTCCATAGAGTTGAAAGATTCTGGTTATAAGCCTATTCTTCATTCACTCCAAAATCATGTTGCTCAGCCATTCCTTCATGCCAGGCACAAGCCAGGTGATGGGCCAATACTGATAGAGGGATCACTGGCCCAGCCCTGAAGCAGCATGCAATCCTGCACTGGCAACACAAAATAGTTGCAACACAGAGCAGTTAGTGTTAACAGTCCAGGTAGAGGAGTGACCCAGAGAAGGGAGAAATCCATTCTCTCCCACAAAGGGGACGGTGCTGGAGCTGGGTCCTGAGGGATGAACAGGAGTTCACCAGCCACACAAGGAGGAAAGCACATCCTAGGCAGAGGGAACGGTGTGTGAACAGCATGGAGGCATCAAACGTGTGACCCATTGGGTGATGATCTGCTCTAGGAGTCCCCGAGATGGCAGCATGGGGTGTTAGGAAAAAAACATAAGGACCTGACCTTGGGTCTAGATGGGGTTTCTGAGGGACCCTCCCACCCCAGAGTCCACAAAAAGATAAAAGCAGAATGATATTGAGAAGCTTTCTCTTTGGGGAGAGGACTGGGGATGGCTGGAGGGTCAGGAGTGCGGGAGGACCCTCAGCCAGGGCCAGGTCACTACAGGTTGGTTTTTTTTTTTTTTAAGATTTTATTTTATTTGTTTGAGAGAGATTGAGAGCACACACATGTGTGTGAGCAGGGAGAGGGGGAGAGGGAGAAAAACAGACTCCCTGCCGAACGCAGAGCCCAGCATGGGGCTCGATCTCACGACCCTGAGATCATCACCTGAGCTGAAATCAAGAGTCAGACGCGCAACCGACAGAGCCACCCAGGCGCCCCCCACAGGTCTTGCTATCAGGCTGAGGTGCAAGGCACGGGAAGGTGCTGAAGACTGAAATAGGGAAAGTTGCTCTGGGGGGCGCGTGGGAGACGGAGAAGATGCAAGCCTGAGCTGGGGCGGTGGGAGCCACGTGGGATCCCTGCAGCGCTTCTGTGGAAGCGGTCAGTGGGGCCGGGATGCAATATGTTCTGTTCCTAAGTCTGGAGGACACACTGCACGGTGTCAATAGTGCTGTCTCTGGGCCTGGTTCATATGAGAGTTTTTATTTTCTTCCTCGTGCTGTGCGGACGGGTTTCTGGCCTGGGTGATGAAGCGGGTGGGTGACAGCACCAGCAACATTTCTGCAGCCAGGAAGGAACTTTCTGGGTGATCCCCAAGATTTTTCCCAGGGGGGCACGGGACAGGAGCAGGAGTAGGGATGGGAATGGAGGGGAGGACAGCTCATTCCTGAGTGAGTCACGAGCGAGGCTCTGTGCTGGGCACGGAGGGTCCCCGTGGCTGGACACAGAGGTCCCTGTTGACGCTCCCAAGCATTTTACCTGGGGTCCGGGACACCGTTCGGGGCAGGCGAGGGCCATGTGCCTGGCTCACGGAGGCCCAGCAGGGGCAGAGGGCCACTGTTGGCTTGGCAGAACTTTTCAAAGGCTGGAGCCAGGGACTGGTGCAGGACCATCACGCTAGCCGGTCGGAGCCCTGGGTCTGGCTAGAGAAGAGACACATGCTTGGTCAGTTGCTTCTTGGTAGAACCTTTTCATTTAACTCTTTCTTGCAGCACAGCACAGAAAAATGCCCGTAAGCATACAGCTTGGTGAATTTTCAGGAATCGAACACACCCAGGTCACCAGCACTTAGGTCAAGAAACAGAACATTGTGAACGTCCCAGAATCCCTTTGGGCCCCTTACGGTTATCACCCCAGCCCCCACGGTAGACACTACCTGGACTTCTACAGATTCCTTTTGCCTGTGCTTCGTCTGATGGAATCATACACGTGAGCCTTTAGCGTCTGGTTTCTGTCACTCAGCCATACGTTTAGGAGATCCATCCATACTGCAGTGTTTGACAGCAGCTGGTTCATCCTGGTTGCTGGGTGATATACTCATTATCACAACATACTTACCCAGCCCTGTTGCAGACGGACATTAACAAAACAGTGTGTTTGGCATATTCTCCTTTTCATAAAATTGATGAGAGAAAGAGCTAGAAGGAAATACATCTACACGTTAATCCTGGTTATCTCCGGCGACAAGACTGGGTGATTTTTTTATGTTCTCTTTTGTGCTTTTCTCAATATTCTCAAATTTATGTAATAAATAGGTAGCATTCTGTAACTGGAGAGAAAACAAACAAGAAAAGTTATGGTTTTTTCTTTTAAAAAAGGATTATTTCCTTTAAAAAGACCATCCCCAAGAAAAACATAATTATGCTGTTTTGGAGAAATAAGCTTGGTGACAATTCTAAATGCTCAATTTGCTGTATCAACATGTGGACATCTCTTTTCCACAATGATACTGTCAGCTAATACTTTCGGGGTGCTTATTACATGCCAGGCTGTCTGTGGGAAGTAATTTATAGATGTAATCACTTGTATTTTATACACGAGGAGAACAAGGCTCGAAGGGATGGGAAGTGACATTGTGCAGCTGGTGCGAGGCACAGCCAGGATTTAAGCCTGAGATGGGGGGACCCCCGAGTCTCTCTCAGGTCACCACGGGGCTGCAGGCACCGGGCCTCCCTGGGGTGGATCCACCACCCCCTCTGGCACCTTCCTCCTTGGGGATGGTAGAATGAAGCAGCTGCGACCATCCGCAGGGAAAGTTCTAGAACCACCTTCTGCTCTAACGGCCTGGAACTGACCTCAAACCCTCAGTGCCTGCCAATGCTACAGATTTTCAAAACGAGGGCAGACTGGACACTTCCAGCCCCTGAAAGCCCAAGGAAGCTAACTGCACATCTCGAGCAAGCCCAGCGTGTCTCCAGAAAATCTGGAGTGAGGTGGAAGGGAATTCAGCCAGCCTAGAAGCCTAGCTTTCCTTAGCCGCCCCTTTCTCACCTCAAAGCCTGTTGGGAGAGCAAACTGGATTTTTAACACCACAAATCAGACAGCTTATTATGTACACAAAGCTTCTTTGTTTCCCTTTTAATTAAATGTACTTCAGAGGGCACCATGTTTTGGGTTTGTTCATCTCCACTGCTGATTGGAGAGAGTCCCTCGGTTGTCCCCATTAGCAACAGGACACCAAGAGAGGGCTCTGTGGCGGGTGGCTTTTTGGAAGGGGTGGTAGACACGTGAGGCGAGGGTCTGAAGTGATTGCTGCATACCCTGGGTCTCTCGAGCTCTATCTAAGGTTGTGATGGCTTTTTTTCTTTGTGAAGAGAAATGAAGTGAGTCTTCTGAGGCCTTTTACCTCAACGCAATGTTTTTCTGTTCTTTTTCTTTTTAATTTAATGATGAGAGAGAGAGAGAGAGAGAAGCCCCCTTAACGTTCGTAATCCGATGTAAACCCCTGGGGAAGGACTATGGAAGACATAGTCCCAAACTGGGGTGTCCAGCTGTTCTGAAGAATGAGCGTCTTTCCTTGTGGCACTTTCCATGACAGCAGCCAACCTGGATTGACCATCTTACCCACACGAGCTCAATTACTCCTCTCGACAGCTCCTTAGGGAGGATTATATTGTTATGTCCAGTTTCCAGGTGAGCCCACAGCTATGGCCAGTAAGGGGCCAAGCAGGGACTCGCACCCAGGCTCTCTGATGCGCTTGGCTCTCTTGGCTCCCCAAAGTTCTAGCGAGCAATGGGGTTCAGCAGGTGTTTGCTGGTATGTTGTGTGTACGACGGGTTGTGGTAGACCATTACCTTGGTGGCTTTCAATAAAGCACATTCGTCCGTGTTCACAGCGCTGATTGGCCCCTTCCCTGTTGACTCTGTCCTTGGCTGCATGCCTTGCTTTGACAATGGGACATTAAGAAGTATGACATAAGCAGGGGTTTGATATGTGCTAACTAATTACAGCTTGTCCTCCTGGAGCCCTGAGCTACCTTGTAAAGAAGTTTGGCTACCACTGCTGGGGAGGCTTCATGGCAAGAAAGAAGCATTAGTTCAGCCCTGGGCTGCTCCAGATCCTCCCAGTGGACACTCCAGACACATGAAGAAGGAACCATCATAGATGGTCCAGCCCCAGCAGACAGGACACCACATGAAGCAGAAGAACCACCCCACTAAGCACAGCCTCATTGCAGAATATGGTTTAAGCTGCTAAGTTTGGGGGTGCTTTGTTATGAACAATAGATAATTCTACTGGCCCAGAAATAGCAACAGAGCTGGACGTGTCAATCAACAATGAGTACTGTCCTGCTCTAGCACTTTATTTTTTTTTGTTTTTTGTTTTATTTTTTATTGTTATGTTAATCACCATACATTACATCATTAGTTTTTGATGTCTGCTCTAGCACTGTAAACCACGCTACTGGCTCTCCCTCTGGTGATCCCCATTACCAGAAAAGTCTTCCTTGTCATGAAATTTTGCTGGGACTTGGGTCAGTAACAACCTGGATGTCTGTTTCCCTCACAGGACCTTTCTGAGCCTTGCGTGTCATGCGTCACTCCGGGAAGAGACTGGGGAGATGGTGCAGAGGAGACCAAAACAGGGATACTTGGCCTAAATCAAAGCCAGCTTAAAATGTAGTGTAATCTGGGGGCACCTTTCCCCGGAGGGAAAACCCACTGCATCATCTGAGGCCATTGGCGGTTCTCCCCGTGGAGGTGGGGTGACCGAGCAGAACTGTTGGTGCTGAGCCGTCTGATAAGGTTTTCACACCTGAGTCTTCTGGCCCAAGTGCCAGACCTCCTTCTGCGAAGTTAAGTAGCAACCAGAAGTAATATCCTCCTGCCCTTACTTCCTGTTTCCCAAGCCGAAGCTAGAAATCTCAGGAATTCCTGGGCCCGGCACAGCTGGTATATCTAGGGATTTTTTTAAAGATTTTATTTATTCATTTTGAGAGAGAGAGAGAGAGAGAGGAGGGGCAGAGGGAGAGGGAGAGACTCTCAAGCAGGAGCCTTCCCCCGCCCCTCGCCGGGCAAGCGCGCAGTCAATGGCAGGGCTCCATCTCACGACCCTGAGATCATGACCTGAGCCGAAACCTAGAGCCAGATGAACCACCCAGGCACCCCCTCATGTCTCAGTTTCTAATGAGAAATTCCCAAAACTTCAAGACCTTTGCTCAAGCCCCTCCCCTGGCCTGGAACGTCATCCATCCCTCCTTCCTGAAGACCGTCCCATTCCTCAAAACTGGTTGGAAGCTTCCCCGTCTAGGCAGCAACCCCTAGGCCCACCCTGGCTGCTGCTGGGCCTCGGCGTCCCCAGAGTGTTCTTTGAGCCACTGACTTTGGCCTGATGTTTTCCTTGACTCTGAACGCCCCCTTTCTCTTTCCCAGGGAGACCCCAAGTACCTGGAGAGCAGGGCCACCTTCCTGGGCCTCGCCCAGGGCTTACACAGCTGAAGCACACAGCACACCAACAACACTTATGCTCCAATGAACAGACAACAGCATGCCACATGTACTCACAAATGAAACAAGAGGCCAGACTTTCTGTCTACGTGTGACTCCTGTCATTTAGATTTGGGTGCCCAGAAGAAACGGATTTTATGTTTTCTGCTTTATAATCCCTGCCGCACCCCCCTACGACTCTAGGTACAGGGCCTTACAGAGATTTTTGGTGTATGAAGAAAATCCTGTAGATTTTTAAATATAGAGATTGTGTCAAAGCTCCAGGAAATTGCACTCAGAAAGGAATCCTGTGTGTTGACTTCCTGTGAAAATTAATAAAAGGAAACCTTTAGTTTATTTCAGTTTATAGTTTAGTTTAAAATGGAGCTGGGAGGCCAGCAGGGGGCGCTCTCGCACCCTGCCCCTGGGCCTACCCAACAGAAGACCTACACCTGGCAAGTCCCATACTACTTCAGCTACTCTTTTACTGCCCTAGCAGGAGGAAGGAAGGTTTCCTCCTCTCCCACAACACCCCAGTCAATGACAGTCACCGCTCAGCCAGCAAGGAACCACTACACGTCGAACCCTCAGTTTCCTCCAACGGACTTTTTTGTTTCTCTAACAGCCCTTCCAACCTCCCCCTTTTCTCTGGAAAGGAGCTCCCTCTCTTTTGTTCCCCAGACTTGCCTCTGGACTTGCCTATGGTTTGGCCCCAGCTTGCTTGTCCTGAATTGCAATTCTCTGCTATCTCCAAATAAACCCATTTTTGCTGGTAAAATAGCTGGCAGTTTTATTTTTAAGTTTAACACGCTCTAGAAAGAGGTTTTGATGCGTCAGAAGAATCTAGGGCTAGGTAGATGAAGAAAGGAAAAAAATGACAGAGAAGAAAAGTGTAGCATAGTGAATATGGTCAATAATATCGCAATCCTTTTGCGTGGTCAACAGGTGGTGACTATCATTATCGTGGTGAGCACTGAGTAATGCATAGTTATCAAATCAGTATTTGTACACCTGAAACTAATATAACATTTTATGTCACCTCTACTTCAATTACAAAAAAAAAATCTAGGGCTAGACAGTCACATTGTGTCAGCCTCCGAGGCACAGCCCAGGTCTTCTTCATCCCAATATACCACACGCCTAGCACCATACCTGACACAAAAGTGGGAGTTCAGTGTTTGTTGAATGACTAGCTGACTGCAGAATGGACGAAAGC